AGAAGTTCCCATCTTGAGCATCAGAACATAGAAATTTCAAAATTATAGGTAGTTTATTTCTGAAGAATAGTTTATTTTATCAGTCCCCTAGGAGAGCTATTCAGCTGCCTCCATTTTTCTTAAGAAAAAAATTGTTAGAAATCTGGAAATGACCTAAACTTTAGAAGGAATTGTCACTTAATTTTGCTTAAGACATTTTATTTAACTTATAAAGGATATTACAGAGGCTAATATTCTTACAGTAAAAAAGAATTTTAGAAATCTGTGTAAATAAATATTGACTGTTCAAAGAGCTGTAGGAATAACTTGGTTGTGCTAAAAACATGGATGTGCTTGTTTTAAAATGTCAGAAAATTGCTTTTGAGCAGTGGAACATTTTAATGGAAATGGAGAATTAAGTCTCATATTTGACTGCTTTAAAGCCTAATAAATGTTGTACTTTTATACAGAATAGTACATGGTAGTGTGAGTTAACCTCATTAAACTTCTACCAGCTTTGTTTAAGACTGGTGGTTTCTGCGATTTAGGCCTCTGATTTTTACATTATATTGGTCACATCTCTATGGGCACTAATGTGCCATAATTATGGTGCATTAAATTTAGTACCTACTTAATGTGCTGTAATTGGCACTACTGCGCAGTACCGCTGGTGCACGTTTTTCACATGACGCTTGTGCACAGCAGAGTAATTCTACTGCTCATTAGCCTGGCTTTTGCCGTGATATGCTGATGCACAGTAGAATCAGTCTACTGCACTTTTAGCATCTTGTAGACGTGCCCACTGGGGAAATACTGTTGTTTCTCCTCTGCCCTATTGCAGTGTGATGCAGAGAAATAGATTGTTAAAACTACTTAGCGAATGCACAAATTTTTCATTGTTTTTGATACAAGTAACAAAAAACAGAATTATGTGCATTAGGATGTAACCTTGACTGTTGCAGCAATTTTAATAATATAAAAGCATTATTGTTTATGCAAAATGAGATTGTTAGATAGGCATTCCTAATAAATGCTTTCTTTGTCATTAGATAATGTGCAAAATGGCTTCCATGGTGGGGAAAGACATCACAGAGAGACTCATTCTACCTAGGTTTTGTGAGATGTGTTGTGATTGCAGAATGTTTCATGTTCGTAAGGTATCATTTTTCCCTGTTTGGTTTGATTAAGCTGCTGTTACTTTAATATTCAAACGTGAACCATAAGCTACCTTTTGTCTGAATTTTTTCCAGTTATTATTTGTATACCTAGAATAACTAACAGAATGAAAGCTACAGGGCTCCAGGTGGTTTAGAGATCTATAGTAGTGAAATGTGCTGCAGAACTGCATTTCAGAATCTTTAATATCATTTAATAAAAATACGTGGTCCTCATGTTTGTGGAGGTAATCTTGAAAACATGAACCAAGCATAGACAGATGTGATATCTGCCTGAGCTGTAGTTTTCTTCCTGTAAATAGGAGGAAAGGAATGAGGAGTTATTCAGGAAAATGGACAAATAACCTAGAGGTATCATGGGATTTAGGCATTGCTGCTATGTAATTGGTTCTGTTCTGCAACAGAGGATCGAATGTTAGAATAAAATCTTTTTGGTTTAACTGTGTGCATTTGATTTCTCTTTGATAGTACCTTTGTATTTAATTAGTTTCTTCAGCTGTTTATGTGGGCTTTCTAGAAGAAGGGCAAAAAGTACATTTTCAACACAGGATTTTGTTGTTGTTTTATAACTGCTGAAATGGATAGAGGATTTGCTCAGATGTAGTTTCTAATTCTGCCTCTGTCTCACATTTTTAAACTGATTAGATTTCAGGTTTTCATGTTGAGTAACTTAAATCTGTAATATTTTACCGGCTATTACAGTACTTCTGCAAATTCAGTAAATCATATAATGTTATGTACCTCTCTAACTTATCTGCAGGTCTGTGCAGCCAATTTTGGAGATATCTGCAGTGTGGTTGGGCAGCAAGCTACTGAAGAAATGCTAGTAGGTCTTTTTATTCAGTTTTCATAATCTAAAACTATTAAGCTAATCATCACTAAGGTATCCTCTCTCATTTGGGGAGGTGATGGTAGGGAGAATCTGTCTCTTCTAAACAGAGATACTTTAAGCTTATGTTAAAACAAAACAAAAACCGTGGAGGATATACTGTCTGTGCAAGTGTGAAATTTTTAGATGATGTTATGAAATTAAAATTGGTCTGTTTTTTAGTACAAGGGTGGATGTCTTTCCTCACTGAGAGCTGTTTGGTAAAAATACAGTTTTTAGTTCCCAGGTGTTTTCAGTTGTGGAGTTTTTTTAAAAAGCTGCGAATCTCTTTGGATGTTGGAGAGTATATGTTTTTTGTGCTCTCCTTACATTTTATAAACAGCTGAATGACTTTTTTTTTTTTTGAAATTACTTGTTGTTTTGTTTGTTTTTATTGAAAAAAAAATCACTTTTTAGTCTGAAACAAAATCTGGAAATTTCAGCCCCAAGGGAGACTTCTTTAGCACCTGAAACCCAGAGTTATAATCCACACAGTACCACTCTCTTCTCCATACCACAAGTGGTTATGATCGTAAGGTGAACTTTGTTACAAATACCTCAGCTGCACTTTCTTTGCAAAACCATCTCTACTGGGATTGTTTCAACAATTTCGAGCACCTACGCAACTGCAAGCAAATTCCAATTTTTTTAAAACGTCTAACAATAAAACTGCTTCCTTTACATCAAATGTGGGATTTTACATTTTCTCAGATTTTAAGGTCTCCTGTCTCTCAGACCTTGTTTCTACTAGGAAATGGGAATATTTTATCATTAGAGTTTCCATGTTCTGAAGAAGTTCTCCCTTTGTTTCTAGTTGCCAATCTTGTCCTTTCCGGTATTTATTGACTAGAAAGTTGGCAGGCAAGTGTAATTTCATTGTACCTATCTTTTCCCAAAGAAATTATGTATTGAAGAATTTTAAAGGCAGTTTACATTTTTATGGAAGGTCACTTATTCTGATGCAGAAGATGGGGGTAGGAAAGAAAAAAACTCTGCAGCCAGAAAGATGTTTTGAATCCACATATATGTTCTTCAATGTACATCCCTAAAATCAATTTGAAGGGAACAGATTTATATAAGGTAGTTACTACTGGCATATCCTTTTACAGTAAAAAAAAAATGAACAGATGCTGCCTTTAGCATCAGGATGAGCCTTTGACAGAAAGTGATATGATAAAGGAGCAAGTAACCCCTCCACCCACCATAATGCCTACATAAAAGCTTATTTACCATGTTCTGTGTAGCTCCCAAGGTTTTTCCAGCTCTGTTCTGATAATGTCTGGGGAGTCCGGAAGGCTTGCGCTGAATGCTTCATGGCAGTTTCATGTGCAACATCACAAGAGGTCCGGCGGACAAAATTGTCAACTCTTTTTATTAATCTGATCAGTGACCCTTCACGATGGGTAAGAATTGTTTTATTTATTGATTATACTGTTAATTTTTCAGTTTGATACCCTGTGTAAACTTTTTTCAAAAAGATATAGCTTGTTCATGTGTATGGTATGAAAAGAACAGTAGAGTGGTGGCTTTGCAGGTAGAAGGAAGGCTATACTCTAAAGTATAATTAGAGCATATGCTATGTTGTAAAGTGTAATTATACCACTGAGGCAAGGTCTGTTGAGTTGCATGCAGGCTTTCTTGCTATGCAGTCATCACGACCATTGGAAAATTGCAGATGTAATTACATTGCACTCCATGAGATTTGTTTCATCTAGCCTTGAAAATCCTTCCTTAAAATTTTTGTAACAAGGTTGTCAACAAGCAGAATCTTATTTTCAAAGCTCTAGGGAAGTCTCCCTGCCCAGAAAGCACTAACTCTTTGGCTTGGGCCAGTCGGGTATGATGAAAGATACAGTAGAACTGCAGGCAGGAGAAACTTACTAGGAGTAAGTTAAGGGGAGGGGGGGAGGAGGAATAGTTAAAGGACAGGACATAATAGGTTGGAAAGGCAGACATTCCAAACTTATGGGTTCTCAGTGGATCAACTTGAATTCAATGATGATGTAAAATAGGTGCACTAAGATTTAATTCCTATTTTCTGATCCCTTCAGTTTTTCACTTGGCTTCCAAAATTATCTGCTTAAGGCATTTTAAAAAGTTGTGAATGACAGGATTAACCTCCATCACAATCCGTGTGGCAATGTCTACAATTACCTGAGTTGACAGTTTTGTCTGACACTGCATTTCACCCATCACTCCAACCCTTTTTCAGCTCTAGGTTTTGTTTGCCACTTGGCATATGCAGCGTATTGGTACAGTTCTCTGGTTCAAGTCTCTCGTATCACTTCCCGAGTGGCTATATGCCTCTTAGGAGTGGAAGGAGCAGGTATTGTATTTAAATGATTTATCTTGAGCCCCCTTTTTCCTAGGTCCGTCAAGCTGCCTTTCAGTCCCTGGGGCCTTTTATATCTACTTTTGCTAATCCATCTAGCAGTGGCCAGTATTTTAAAGAAGAAGAAAGTAAAACTACAGAGGATCATAGAGCTGCAGAGGAAAATAGGTATGAATTTTCCAGGGTTTGGATTTCATTCCCAACTTTATTTTGCATAAAGATACCAGTACTTAAGAAACTTTATTTTTTTTCTTTTTAATTTTATTGCATGTCTTGGTAGGTAAATACTCCAAAACTTTTCTTTTTTTATAGTAAGTGACTATTGGGTTCCTCTTTAACTAATTAAGTTTTCAGTAACTCTTCAGGTGCTTCACTTAGTTTTACTTATAGCATAGTTGACTAATTACAGACCTGCCAAATGTAGAACATATCTATGATATTTATGATAAATTTTGACAATTAAGCTGTATATTGGTTGCAGGTTCTTTTTTTTCCCCCTCAGATAAATGCGTGTTTTTTGTTTTTTGTTTTTATTTGACACCCAACAGTGAAAAGATGAGGAATACAGCAAATCTCATAACAGAGGATGCATGCAGCAGGACAGTAGACATATCTTCAGATGTTGATATTAGTGATTGTATGCTGAAACCTGAAAACACTGCAGAAGATCAAAACCTTGTATCCAGTAAATCCCAGAATGAAACTGATTTCTCGACTGAGATGTTCTTAAGTTGCACTTTGTCTTCAGACTCTTGTAGAGAACTAGCTGAGGAGAATGAGCAAAATTCTAGTCATTGTACAACAATGGTGCAAGAGTCTGGGTTGAGCTCCCATGAAACTTCCCTTTCAGAGCAGGAGTTGTACAACTCTTTCCATTTCTGGAGGACTCCACTTCCTGAGATAGATATTGATTTAGAGCTTCAGCAAGCCTCTGATATAATCTTTACTCCAGACATTCAGGAAGGAACACAAGAAGCTACTGTGCCAGCTTCTCCAAACATTACTATGGCTACAAGGAAGGAGTTGGAAGAAATGATAGAAAATCTGGAGCCTCACATTGATGATCCAGATGTTAAAGGTATAGCAAAAATATGGGAGTATGCGGGAATTTTTGTATAATATTTTCCCCTAGAAGTTTTCATTTTTAACCGTTTGGACAAAGTTGTTTAAAAATTGACTCTGAAAAGTAAATGTTTGGGTTTTGGGGGAATTTTAATTAAAATAGGTTTACTAGGTATTATTTAATTAGGGAAAAATGATGACAAACTGAAAGGACCCTCATTTCTGAGAAGCAGCCTCTAATAGTACAAATGCTATTTTACTTTGATTGTTGAATGCTTAATTGTACGCCTAATTAGCATCTGAAATTCTTAGTACTTACACTTCTACCTGCCAGGGGCGTAAGTCGTCTGAGTATTGAAGGATGTGGGGAAAAAATGTTGCCATTAGCCTACATGCAGAATTAGAAACCATATTAAGATTTTATTTCAGAAGATGAAGCTTGAACGTAATTTTTTTTACCTCTTGAACTATCAGCTGAATTTTTTTGCAGGAATGTTGAATGTTTCAAATTTCTTGACGCACCTCTGTTTACAGGAAACCCCGTTTTTAATGCTGTTTCATTTAGTGCTGTTTCGCTATAATGCTCACGGTTGGCAGGGCTAACCAGACCTTGTCGCGCATCCACAGGTGCATCTCAAGTAGAGCCAGGGAGGTGATCCTCTCCCTCTATGTGACACTGGTCAGGCCACAGCTGAAGTACTGCGTCCAGTTCTGTGCGCCCCATTTCAGGAGGGATGTGGACAACATTGAAAGGGTCCAGAGGAGGGCCACCTGCATGATCCGGGGACAACAGGGGAGACCCTACAGTGAAAGACTGCAGGACCTAAACCTGTTCAGCCTTCACAAGAGAAGGCTGAGGGGGGACCTGGTGACTGTCTATAAACTCACTAGGGGGGACCAGAAGGGTTTGGGGGAGACACTGTTTCCCCTAGCGCCCCCTGGCATGACAAGGAACAATGGACACAAATTATTGGAGAGTACAGTTAGATTAGACATCAGCAAGAACTACTTCACAGTTAGGGTGGCTAGGAGCTGGAACCAACTTCCAAGGGAAGTGGTGCTGGCTCCTACCCTGGGGATCTTTAAGAAGAGGCTTGATGCCTATCTGGCTGGAGTCATTTGAGCCCAGTTTTTCTCCCGCCCAGGCGGGGGGTTGGACTTCAAGATCTACATGGTCCCTTCCAACCCTACTTCTATGATTCTATGATATGATTCACTTAGTGCTCAGCAAGTTTTGTTATAATGCACATGTGGCTCCACAGGCTGCTGACAGGCCTTGTGCCCAGCCAGTCATGCACCAGGGGGTGGACATGAAACACACTTCTCCCCACCCCCCCATGACATTCAGACCCTCTCAGCTCTGCTGTAAGGGGCTAGTGACCAGTTGGGAGAACAAGCTGGGGCAGGGGGCGGGGAGGTGCCACTGTGTGCAGTGTGGGGCCGGCAGCGCCTGACGCGTCCCTCCCCTCCCCCCTTCCCGGCGAAGTGAGGGAACGTGCCAGGGAGATGCCACCACTGCGCTCCGGGGCATGCTCCATTTCTGCCCACCGGCCGGCCTGCCCATGCATATCCCCTAAGACCTTTCTAATTACCGCTGAGAGTACACGTATCCCCGGTTGACAACCCCTGGTTTAGGCTTTCTTTCCCCTCAGATTATTAAGCATTCTTATAGATGTTTAGAAGTTCACGTTCAAGCACTGCACCAGTCAGTTGCAAGAATTCAACACTTCTGCAGACCAAGTCCTAGGTATTTCAGATTGAGCTTCCAGAAAACGTTGGGATTGGCAATTACCTGAAAAAAATGTTTCAGTGACTTGTTCAGCATTTCATAAGAATTTTGTCGCAGGGGTGGAGGTACACTCAAGGGTGACACTCAACTGTAATCATGAAGCTTGTGATCATTCTGTTTCTGAAGTCTTTCCAGCTTTTGCCACAAATGATTTAAGTGTTTTATGTTAATTATACAGCCCTGACTTGTCCCCAAAATGGATTTGATCGGAACAGGGATTCTGTGGCAAAAGTAGTACCAGCAACTCTATCATAATATCCTGTATGTTGGTCCAGATGAACATTGGATAAACCACCTTAATTCTGGTTAATCTAATTTTGTAATTTTAATGTTCTTTTCATCTAGTTTTGTATAAAATTTTTAAATCTCAAAAACTGAGAACAGTTTCTATCATGGAACCATATTAACCCACAGTATAGCTAATTTTCAAAGTTCTTAAAGATTAGAGCAGGGGTGGCCAGAGTTACTCACCTTGGGAGCCACATCCAATCCTCCACCAAAGCCAGAGAGTGGGAGTTGGAGGGGGTGCTGAGCGACCCAGCACGGCTGCAGAGTGGGAGCGGGGTGAGCTTCTCTGCCAAAGCGCCAGAGAGCCACAAGAACCATGCTAGCAAGCTACATGCAGCTTGTGAGCCATAGTCTAGTCACCATTGGATTAGAACCTGAAGGTCTACCATTTGATCTTGTAGTACTTATTCTTTGTGAATAGTAATACTGTTGTTATCCTCTGTGAAACAGCTAGTAGTGGTGAATGATGTACTTTTCAGTCAGTTTCACAGCCATTGTTTGGCCCCAGAGGTGTATGGAGGTTTAGGACTCCTGAATTCAGTTCCAGGTTCTGTAAAGTAATATTTCTAATGGTTAGAGACATTTTGTTTTTCTGTCTTTCTGCTTCTATCCATTCTCTCCTGGTCCTTGTTCTTCGCTTCTATACAGTCATCGCAGCCTTCTGTACCCATGTACCCCTAGTTTTTTTTCCCCATCTCTGTTGCTTTTCTTTCCTTAACACTTGCTGTAGAACATGTATTTTTAAATATCCTACCTACATCATTATAACACTTTTACATAATCACCATGGCAGTTTTGCTGGCTGGTAATAACTGAACACCAAGGAAAGAAAAAGCAGGGGTGACCCCTAGGAAAGCACAAAAGAGAAGTTGAAAGGGGGATGGGTGGGGAAGAAGAAGGAGATGTAGCATTGCCTGTAGAAAAAATATTTCTTTTAATGAAATGCAAGGAGAAAAGCAGGAAGGAAATAGTGCCCTGATGGGAGACATTCTGGAGAGCAGTAAACTTAAGGACTGGTAGTTAGAAAAGATTTTCAAGTTATAAGATGTCCCATATCTTAAATAGGTAATAAGATTTCTTTTTTTCATTTAATTTTTTCACTCCTAGATAACACCATACCAACTTGTACCTTTTAAGTCGGGGCAGGAGCGACAACCTTTTTGGCAGGTGTGCCACAAATTAACCCCACACCTTCCCTAAGTGCCACTGATCCACTTCCCCTGCCTGATCTGATGCTCTGCTTTCTGCTGCCTGCCCAATCTGCTGCTGTGTGCTACCTGTCCTCTCCCTGATCTGTTGCATGCTGCATATGGAGGCTGGCTGTGCCACAGGTTAGCCACCCCTGCCTTAAGTAATAGAGAAGAGAGATGGTCTTTAGGACACAGTGCAGAACCCAGTAAACCAGAGATGGGTAAAATATGGCCCATGAGCTGGATATGGCCCACCAGGCACTTTCATCTGGCCTGTGGCACCACACAATAAAGTGCACCCTGCTCAGTCCCCACCCCCACGCTTCCTCACACCCCACAAAAGCTAGACACCCACACCATGCCCCCACAATCCCCAATATATCCCATGCCTCCCACACACACACACCC